GATTTTCCTCTTTCGGTTTTCATTTGTGAGGTTAACATTTCATTCTTATCAACCGGAATACTTTTAATAATTCTTTGTGCCGAAATCAACCCTACGTGGATGCACGATGCGTTATTTTCAAATGTAACTGATGCGAAGGCGAAGAAATATTAATCATACTAACGGGATTCTATGTCTTCTGCTTTTTCGTCATCTGAGATGTCCAGTATAATTTTTGTGATTAGACCTGCAGAATTATTAATACGAATTCCAACAAATGATTCGAAACGCTAAACTCAAATGCGCAAAAATCAGTTATTATCTGACATATTTCAAACAAATAATATTAAAAGGCTACCTTATTTCTCATCTTGACATTAAATTTCCCATAATTCACACGAAAATATTGATTTTCCTAAATTTAAAGTCAATTATTAAAGTAAAAAACATCAAGCTCCCAGTGCAGATTTACTGTAGGCAAGCTAGCATTTAACTCATTGTAAACACACATGAGAGATGTTGTTTCTTACATTAAAGATTTCATCGCCTTTCCGTTGCTAAGAAAAAAAAATTTCATGTTCGACAATATTCAGGAAAGTAAAAATTTTTTGTTCGCTTTCTAAAAATAACTAACCTTTGCCGGTCTGTCAAAAGTAACAGCGTTTATTTTCCGTTTCTATGATGTTCGTAAAAGAATTATTTGAAAAATTCAAAGAAAACCGCAAAGCAAAATTGAATAGATCATCACCAATCCAGTTGCGGCTTCATCTACATCAACATCACCTGCAAGCTTAGCTTTAACTTCTGCCACCTGTTTTTTAGTGGGAATGAAATTCGTCACCTTTGCTAATTCACGCTGTTCAGCTTCAGAAGCCTTATCTTGAGCCGATTTTGAATCAGTAAAGTTGAAAGGTGCAATGTAATGTTTCTCAATCATTTTAGAAAAAATTTCTTTAACATCACGGTATTCTAACATAATATACAATTTCATTTAATCTCTAATAACATTTTTTTTCAACTCAATAACTAAATATACTTACTACTACTCGTTTTTTTAGAAATTTTTAAATCTTTTTCAACAAGTTTCTTAAACGTCGTTTTACCATTAAGCAGCATAAGCCTAATAATTTCACCTGCTCCCTGAAAAAAAAAAGCATCAATATAATAATACTCTAGGTCCAAATTTTTTTGAAAAAAACGATAACAATTACCCTACAACCAATCCATTCATTGGCATTTTTGATATAGATACCAAAGTTCAACCTTGTCAGAATTTCATCTTTCTCAATGGAATAATATATTCCAATTCGTGAGCCTTC